TGCTAATCGCCTGCACCGATGCTCCGTCGTTGGTGCTTCAGATGCACAGAAACAACAAGAGAGATGCTAAGGCACTAGCAGCTCGAGCTTCTGTAGACATCGTGATGTGCATCAAGGCACCTGCGGCAACTACCCAGTCTGAACCACATGTCCGAAACTACCAGACCACCCGACCAGCAGAGGCTACGTGAACAGCAAACGAAACTCGATGCGGCCTACTTACAAACACGACGAGCTCAAGCTCAACTGCAACTAGCAATACCTAATAAGGCCACCAGCCACCAGCTATGATTATTCCCAGGCTCTGCCTGCCGCGTTTTCTTGTGCAATGTCGGAAGTGTTCTTCAGGAGCTCTGCAAGCTTTGGCACTGCACCCATGCGGGCGATTGCATCCTGAGCACGCGAAAGGATATGGCCTAGCCTTCGTGACCATTTACCAATAATGGGGAAGGTATGATGTGGCTGTTTAGCCTGCAGATGACTCCAGGAATCCCACATCAATGTAAGGAGCCGACACTGTTCTTCTCGTGGCCAACTGTGAGGTTCCAGATGGCGTAGGCCGCTTCCTGCGCCGGTGTGGCCTCGGCGGGTTCTCCGGTGCTTGACTACGAAGAGCTCGGCCTTCAAAAGGGACGCTGCCCCACTGGAGAGCAAGTCCACCAGCTTCCCGAAAATGCCCGCCTGCATGCGAGTGTCAAGTCTAAAAGCCTGTGGCCTGGGCCCAAAATTTGCCACACATTCCCCCGCTTGGAACAGAGTGCGCCGACAACTGTGTGCGAATGGAACCAGGACGCCCCGCGTTCGGGCGCCTGCATGCATAGGCGGGACGCACAATGCGAAACCGCGAATGGCTGCGAGCGTCTCGTCAGCAATGGAGGCCTTCTGTTTCTGTCTGCACCACCCCTCTTTTGCGGTCTTCCTTGTACGTGCCCAAAGTATCACCAGCCGCTTGGTGCGCGCTTCTTGCAACTCCCTTCATCTCTTTTCCTATCGCGTCCTAATGCGTCCTGGAGGGTGTGCTTATCCGCGTGTAACGGGTCGAACTAGACCCTGTGTCACCCCGGTAAGCAATGCTTCAGTGCAAGGACACTAGGAAGCCGTAGCAGGTTCAACGAAAACACATGCACCCCGAAATACCCGGAAATTCGCGAAGCTGAAGTGCACGCACCTCCGCAAGTTTGTCTTGATTTTCGGGGCTCTCGTGACCTGGGCTCGACATGTGTACAGAGACATCTGGCTGCAGCTTTGCCTGCTACAACCTCCGGACCGGAGAGGTCCCAGAATCACTTCCATGATCCGCAAACCGCAAAGCTGTGGACACAGGTTGCCAAGGACAGCTGCAGACATCTCCTGTCGGCAACAGCAGAAACAGGCCCTGCGCAAATCTGTGCAGCATGGCAAGTAGCTGCTGTGCCTGGAGCGCCGAGTTTGAGCTTGACAATAACTCCCGTAGGCTTGGCACTGCTCCGCCAGCGATCATCTGGCACGGCACGAGATGTGCTTGGGCTGCATACGACACATCGATGCTGGAGCATGCCTCAGTGCCGATGTCTGAGCCAGGCTGGGAGACCCCCGCATCGGTTAGCATCAGCATCAGCTTCAGGGCGGCTTCCTGACCATGATCCGACGTTCCAACCTTTCCGGAGAATGCAAGGCACGCCGGCACGGCCTGTGTTTTGCCGTCCGACAACATCTTTGACAAGGGCGTGGCCTCAGTCATGAAAATCTCAGGCCAGACGCGACAAACGCCGGCCCAAGGCTTGCACCAGTCCTTCGTTTGCAACTTGAATGCACAACCTGGGGTGATGCCCAGGCCCTTTGAACGAATCATCTCTGTGAACGCTTTCCAATCGTACGACTGCTCGCAATCTGCAAATAGGTTGTGGGGATTTTATGCTGTGACTCCAATCTGCATCTGAAAAAATATTACGATTGAAATGCTTTCCGCACAAGCCAGCCAGGAAGACACACGACTGCAGACTGAAACCAGAGTGTTTGGCAGGCCCCTTTTGGCCATGTTGTGACACCCTCCGCGCCCTCCCGCAACATCTTGTCGAGCCATGTCGAGCCCAAGTCGGATTCTTGAATTTAGCATTGTTTGGCAAGCCACGGCTGGGGTTGATCATTCTCGTTCGCTTGGTTGGGGGATCCTAAGTCCTAGCGAAAGGCGAAGCCATCGCCATGTCATGTGGGCGTTCTTGTCGTCACACTTCGCTTGGCTTGCTGGCGTATTGGCATTCATTGACCACGACATCAACTTTCCTAGGCGTCAGACACCTTTTCAATGGACTCCAAGACAAATCCAACGCCACATTTCCAGAGACTGCATGTATGCCCTACAGATCTCTACAGCACAGTAGACATGTGGACGTGCGGGAATCATCTTCTCTGGAGGAGTGACCTGGGGAATATTGCATCTGGGCCCACTCGCTTTGCAGAGAAATCGATGCATGGAATGCTCGATGGAGAAAGTATAGAAATGGTGTACGAATATTTTACGGCTGCCATGCGCATCCAA